TTTTAAATAAATCTAAAAGTTAAATAAATAATATATCTTATTATATAGTTTTATAGATGAAGAATTAAATAAATAATTATATTAATGTTATATAAAAAAGGTATTATTATTTTTTTATGTATTTTTTAAAAAGAAAAAGAAAATAAAAAATGTAATTATGAAATATATAAATTTATTAAATATAAAAATAAATCAAAATAATTTAAATACTTATTGTTATTTTATAAAATAATGTTTAAATATGTATTATAAAAATAAAAAAATTAAACATATTAAAAGTTCAATAGAAAGAAAATATTATTATGTATAGTATTAAAAATTAAAATTAAAATAAATAAATAATAATATTAAATAAAAATCATAAAAATTTAAATAATAAAATATAAGAGAATAATTAAATATAAATATATTAAATATATATATATATATATATATATATAAATAAAAAAAAAATATAAAAATATAGTATATTAATATGTATTTAATATAAAATATAAATTAGATAAATAAAATAAATTTGAGAATATATTTAAAAAAAGTTTCTTATAAATAAAAATATAAATAAATTTAAGAAATTTTAAAAAGTATAATAATAATAATAATAATAATAATAATAATAATAATAATAAGCATTATAACATTTATATTAATATAAATTAATAAACATAATATATAATTTTTAATATTATAAAAATTTACTATATAACATTTTATATATTACAAAATTAACAATTTAATTAATATCTTTTTCAACAATTTATTTTTATAAATATATTATTAAATTTTTTTTTTTTATTTACATATATATATATACATTATTTTTTTTTGTTTTATTTTTTATCCATTTATTATTCTAATTTAAACATTAACTTAAACAATATCTAAAACAAACAAAAATGAACGGTAAAAATCTATTAAACAATCTGATAAAAACAAGTAATAAAATAATAAAAAAATAAGAAGATTAAAAAAATAAAAAATAAGATTAACTAACAATCGAAGAAATCAAATAATTCATATACGAACACGAAAACTAAAATAAAAGTGAAAAAAGCTATTTCAAAGTATAACAAAAAAAATATTAAAAATAAATAAAAAAATTTTATAGTAAAATAAATTCTTTAATACTCAAGAACTTAAAAAACACGGTTATGAAATGATAAATATAATCTGCAATCTCTACGAAAACCTTGAAAATTTTAAAGTATTTCCTTAAATAGAAATCGGTCATTTAAGAAATTCCCTTCCTTCTTCTCCCCCATAAACTGGTGAAGATTTAACCTAAATACTATCTGATACAAAAAATATTATATTCCCTTGTATAACATAGTGGCAACACCCTAATTTTTTTGCCTATTATCCTTCTTCGGTTAGTCATGCGACTTCTATAGCTGAATTGTTTGCTTCGACTTTTCATTCTCCAGGCTTTACATGGGCCGCTTCTCCTGCTCAAACTGAATTAGAGAATATTACAGTCGATTGGGTTGCCTAGATGTTAAATTTACCTGAAGTTTATTAGTTAAAAAATGAAGGAGGAGGTACTATAAGCATGAGTGTTAGTGATGCTTTTCATTTAGTTATACATGCGGCTAAGTAAAGGAAAATAATAGATCTCAAAATTGATAATTATGACCCCAAAATTTTCCAGTTTTCGGCTTATTATTTTGAGCATTCCTTTGTGACTTGTGAAAAAGCTTTGACACTTAAAGAAATATAACATACTAGGATAATTGAGTGTTACTATGATAAAGAAAAAAAGAATTTCTAACCCAATATTAAGGTTTTTAAATAAGTAATTCAAAAAGATGTCGAAAACGGATTAATTCCTTTCTTTTGTTTAGCTACTTATGGTACTACTTCAACATGTGCAGTGGATCCGTTTGATGATATTATAGATATATGTAAATAATATGGAATGTGGTTAAATTTGGACTCGGCTTATGGAGGTCTTACTTGGGTTTGCCCAGAATTATAAATGAAAAAGCATCAATAAGTACTATTAAGTGTAGATTCTATGTAAATAAATTTTTCTAAAGCTGGTTTAATAGGAACTATAGGATGTTTATTATATGTAAAAAATAAGAAAAATTTTTGCTCTACTTTTAGAAAAGATAGATCTTTTGAAATTTGTAAAAACAAATTCTCAGATTTAAATGAAGTTATAGATTATAAAGACTGGATGATTGGATTTGGAAGAAGATGGAATTCATTAAAATTATATTATAATATTAGAACTTTTGGTATATAAGGATATTAAGAACTTATTAGAAAAAATGTGAGTATGTGTGAAAGATTTGAGAATTTGTTAAAAAATAGTGAAAGATTCGAAATTTTGACTTAGTCTTTTTTAGCTGTAATCACTTTTCAACTTAAATGCTGGAAAGAAGGACAAGAAAAGAACGATATTAATAAAAAACTAAAAGCCATTTTAGATTAAAATAACGAAAGAGGATATATTACTCCAAGTAGTATAAATGGTATTTATTTTTTGAGATTTGTAATATGTAATCCAAATACTACAGAAGACCATATTGATAAATTTTGGGTTTATTTAAATGAATGTGTAGATAAATTAATTGAAAAAGAAAAATGAATTTTCAATATATACATTATATATTTTTTTTATATTATAACCACAACTAGAATTAAATAAAAATAAAAAAAATATTAATATACTTTTTATAATTAAATTATAAAAATTTTAATTTTTAAAATTAATCAAGAGGAAAAATAAAAATATTTTTTATTTATTAAATATTGAAATAAAAGGTATTAAGAATTTTTTATAAATAAATATTATAATTTTATATAGAAAAAATATTAAAAAATGATAATTTTTAATATTTAATATTTCATTAAATATTAAAGTAAATTTTGAAAATATATTTACTTTCTTAATAATTTGAAAGAAAAATAATAATTAAATTATGTATTTAAAAAAATATTAGAATAAAAAGTAAAAATATTTATAATTTTATATAAATAAAAAAGTTTAGTATTAAAAAATATATATATATATATATATATATATATATATATATATATATATATATATATATATATATTTATAATTATATCATTATTTATTAATTTCTTTTTTTATAATTAATTACTTTTTTTTAATTGTTTTAAACAGATTTATATTTAAATACAATATTTATTCTATTTTTTTTATTAATAAAATATTTTTTATTTCTTATTTACTTTATTAACTTATTTGAAAATAATCAATCTTTTATTTTTTTTAACAAAATCTTTCTAATTAATATAAATAATATTTTTTTAAAAAAAAAAAAAATCAAAAACACTAATAAAAACAAAAAGAACTAATTATTTTTAATTACAATTTCTAGATATAGTAAAAAATAACGCAATTAAATTATTAAAGCAAATAAACTAGCAAATTTATAAAAAAATTATCTACAAATAATATTTATTAAAAAATTCTAATTTTACTTTTTAAAATATACCCTAATAAATTAAAAAATATGATATTTTATGTATTTATTAATTATCTCTTTTATCTTTATATAAATTTTTAGTAAATTCAGTTATATTTTTGACTATAATTCTTAAAAAGCCTTTATAAAATTCGACTAGAAATCTTTTATATCATAAAGTAATCAAATATTTTATATAAATACTTAAAAATAATTTTAATATATCTTTTAGTTATTATAAGTAAAATTTCAATTATATTATTTTTATATTTTTTTATGAGTAAAACTAAAAAATATAATTGGAATCTACAGCATTAAGCTTATAATAAGCATTCTCTAAATAATAATTACAAAAGTACCTATTAAAGCTCATAAAAATAACACTATTTAAGTAATTGAGCAATAAATTCCAAATTAATATTCTCTTATATCTTTAATTTTATATATAAATATTCTAATATAGATTTATTAATTGAATAATATATATATATTAAAATGATATATTAATTAATAGAAAATAATATAAAATTATAGATTTTGATATAGACCATATATAAATAGAATAATAAAATAAATTATTTAAAAAAATATTTTTTAAAAAATTTTGTTAAAACTTCCAAATACAAGAGTATATAAAAAGATTAATTTATAAAAAAAAAAAATTTGAAGAAAGATTTTTTTTTATTAAATATATGTAAATAAACATAAAAAATAATACAATATACCTGAAAAAAAATATTCCTTTATTTAAACAAAAAAAACTAATAAAATATTTAATTTTATAAAAAAAAAGAAATAAATAATATAGCCTATATATTTTAATTAATTTTTTAATATATTTATTTTTATAAGTTTTTAAGTTAACTTTATAAAATAATATAAAGATTTTAAAAAATATTCAATAATAATCATATTACTAATTTTATATTAAATATAAATAAAAAAAAAAAATATAAATAATTAAAAATAAAATAAAATAAAATAATATAAAGAAAAATAAAATTATTATTAATAATTATAACAATATATCAAAAAATAAAAAAAAATTAAAAATATTTAAAAAATAAATAAATAAATAATAATAAATATAAAACATATAAAAAGTATATATAATTTTATATTTATTAAATATAAAATTATATATATATTTATATATTTTATATATATTTATATATTTATATATTTATATTATTAATTGAATTCCTTTTCGATTTAAATTAATTACAATCAATTTTTAGAAATATCTCAATTTTAAATTAAAATTGCTATTACAATTAGTATTTTTTTTTTACAAATATAATAAAATCAAACTATAAATTTTAAAATACTATATTCATATTATCATTATTATATATTTATTAATACATATAAACATAATAAAGTTTCCTATTTTATTTTTTATTTTTATTTAAATTAAATGCTTTTATTTTTATTTACAGTTAAAAAAAAGGGCTAAAATATTTTAGTTTATATTGAAAAAAAAATATATTAATATTTCATTTTAGTATGCAATTTTCAAAATAATTGCAATTAATAAAAAAAATGCATATTTGAGTTCTATAAATAAAATTTTGGCTTTATTGAGATTTAATTAAAGTGAAAAGTATAATAAAAATAAAAATAAAAAGTATTAATGAAAATTATTTATTTAAAATAAAATAAATAATAAAATCATTTTTGATATAAATAAAATATAACATTTTATTTTATTATATTAAATAAAATTATATTAATATTAAAAAAATAATTTAGTTTAATATAATAATTTATTTTAAATAAAATTTTATTTTATAAAATTAAAAATATTAAAAATTATTATAATGATATAAAAACATTAATTAAAAATATATTTTATTTTTGAATTTAACAAAAAATATTTAGGTTTATAAAATAATATAAAAAAAACATATTTAGATTTTAAAATTTATAAAAAAAATATTGTAAATCGAAACAAATATAATATAAAATTTTATTTTAGAAAAAATGAAAATTAAAAAAAAAAGTAATTCGAAATACATTTATTTAAAAAAATATATATTAAAAAAATACTATTAATAAAAAAAATATATATTATTAATATTAATTGAATAAAATAAATATTTATATTTTAATATTAAAATAGATAAATAAAAATATATATATATATATAAAATTTGATAAAATTAAAAAAAAAAGACAAATAGATTTAAATTTAATATTTAAATATATAAATTAATAAATATATATATATATATATATATATATATATTTATATAATATAATATTATTTTTATAATAAAATAAATAATTTTTATTTATTTTACAACATTGATATTAAAAATGGGTTTTATATTTTATTTTTTATAATTTAAATAAATTAAATATATCTTTTAAATTATTGAATAAAACTATTTAATATTATAAATAATTAGTATTTAATTCAATTAAGTTAAATTTATTTATATATTTTTGACAAAATAAAAATTATATATATAAGCATAAATATGTATCTCTTCACTAATATATATATATATATTTTTATATATATGTATAATTATTTATTTTATTTTGCATTTTCTATTGATTTTATATATATAAAAATTTTATTTATATATAATTTTTCTTATTAATATTAATATTACTTTTATCTATTTTATTATATTTGTATCTATAATAATTTTTTTTTTTTTTTTTTTTAAATATAATATTTTTTTAATTATTATTTTTTTTTTTTAATTTTTAAAATGTATTTTATATTATAAAAATATATATAAAATTAATTATTTTTTTGAAAATCTTTTATTTATTTTATAAATACTAATTTAATTCACATTTTATTTTTTTTAAAATTTTTTTTTCCTATTAGTTTTATATAAATTATAAAAATATATTAATTTTTCAACTATCAATTTTATATTAGTATTAATTAATATTTATATTATAATTCATTTTGCATAAATTTATTCGTTAGCTTAAAATTTTAAATTACCATATTAATATTATATTTTTCATATATAACTAAATGATTATCTTTTATATATAAAATATTTTACTATAATTTATATTTTTATTTTTGTTGAATATATATTTATAATTTTATATCTTTAAAAAATAAAAATAATATAAGTATTTTTCCTTTTAATAATATATATTTATAAATATAATTTATTAGTATAATACTATAGTTCATGTATTTATTTTTAAACTTATTTATTTTTCCTAATTTGATTTTTAAAAAAATAAAGATTAGAAATTAGTAAACATTAAAAATACCATTATTATCATACACAAAATATAAGACTCTTAATTTTATAATAAAATATTCAAAGCCTAAAATCCTACATAAGAAAAGGAAGAAATCACCCTAAAAATCTGAAAAATTTCTATTTACCCTTCGAAATCCTAAGAAGCAATAATAGAAGTAATATTTTAAAAAAAGCAATCACAAAATCCCCAAAAAGAAGCAACAAAAAAACACACTAAATAATTCTTAGTAAAAATTCCCAAAAAACACAACATAACAGCTCCTAAGCAAATTAAAGTACCTAAACTTGCCATTTTATAAACACATATAAAATCAACTAATTTTCCTGAAAAAATACCACCTAATATTTCAAAAATACCTAAAAAAATCAATACATAACATAATTTTTCACTTTTTATATCAGCTATTTAATCTTTACTCATTTTATTTGAAAATCCAATAGAATTTTCGACAATTTTGTTTAAAAAGCCTGAATAAAAACCTACTATAATACCAGTCATTATCATAAAAGGTATTAAAGGTTTAATTTTTTTACTCGATAAAACATTAAATACATTTTTTAAATTTTCTTTTATAGAAAATTATTTATCATTTTATTATTATATATTAGGTATAAAACTAAAAAATATAGTCGGGATTAATCCTAAGCATGCCATTATAATAAAAAAATAGACATTATCTAAATATTTAATTAAAAAAGTGCTTAATACAGCTCCTAAAACAATCGAACCTTAAGAAATAGCGCTAAAAATCCCAAATAAATCTCCTCTCATATCTCCATTGTTTTTACATAAACTATCTATATAGCTTCCTTAAGCAACCTTTTATAAATTTAAGGATATATAAATAAATATAATTTCTATATATATTAAAAAATTATGATATTACCCATATTATAGACATAGCTACTCCACATAGTGTAGAAAAAAAAAGTACTATAAAATATACCAATTCAGGTGAACATAGTTATGTATTTTATTCTGAATCTTTACATATACAAACCCAAATTCCCGAAACTGTGAAACAATTATATCCAATCGAACTTATAATGAATGTAAATTTAAATGAAATCTTATTAATTATATATTTAGCTAAAAATAAACTTGAGAAACCATATATTAAATTCAATAATAATAATGATATTAATCCTAAGTTATTATATTCTAAGTTTTTATATAATGTAGCAACTAAATTCGATGTAGAACTATAAGCAGAGCACATTAGCATAAAAGAAAAAGATAATAAGTATATAGTCTTTTTTTAAGATTAGTATTCGTATTCACTTTTTTCTATTTCTTTTTGACTTAAATTAAATTGAAATTACGACATTTTTTAATTAGTTTATTTTTTTTATTTTATTTTTTTCTATTTTTTTATTTTTCAAAATATATATTATTTGTAAAAAAAATATTTTATAAAAATAAGTTTTTTAATATAAATAAAAAAAAAAATAGAATTTGTATAAAAAAAAATAATTTTGTATTTCACACAAATATTAAAACAAAAAATTTAAAAAAAAAAAATGATTAAAAAAACATTAATCTCAATCACTATATTATCATTAGTATTTTGTCATACTTTTAAAACTGATACCAAAGTTAAAGAATTAGACATTAAAAACTTTACATAAATCACAGGAATAGGTTCTAATAAAATAGAATTACCTTCCATAGGCATGTTTTATGCCCCTTGGTGTGGTCATTGTAAGAATTTAATTCCTGTGTTTGAAGAATTAGCTGAAAAAAGAGAAGGAAAAAATATCATTTTTGCAGTTGATTGGTAAAAATATATATATACATATATATATGTATATTAAATAAAAATATAGTACTTAAAATAAATAAATTTGTGATTAATTTGATGTAAAAGGATATCCTACAGTTAAATATTTTTCAACTGATTATTAAGTAAGTGCTTACAAACAAGCTAGAAAATTGGAAGCATTTGAAGAATTTTTAGAAAGCGGATACTAATAATCTGAATTAAGTCCCCTTTATTTCAGAAGACTAGACTTATAATAAAACTATTAAATAGCTACAGGAATAGTTGAATATTTTGGCGGACAAACTAATTTCTTGATATTTATAGGTGCTTTTTTAGTTATTTTTAATGTTTTATATTCCTTATTATGTGGAAGAAACTCATTATAAAAAAAAAATGAAAAGAAACCAAAATAAGAAGAAAAAAAATAAAAAAAAAATTAATGATTTTTTTTTGTTTTTATTAAAAAAAAAAAAAGATTTTATTTATTTCTATTTAATTAAATTTATTATAATTGATTGTTAATATTTATTTATTTATATAAATACAATATATATATATATATTTTATTTTATCAATAAAAAATTCCTTCGAAAAAATATTAATATTTATCATACCATCTAGCTCTCCAGTGATCAAGACTTTAATTTATTAAGCTTTATTTTTTATAAAACAAAACAGAACAAAAAAAAAAAAAAAATTAATATTCAAAAAAGAAATAAATAAATACTTTTATGTATATATATAATATTCACCATCATTATGTATATTTTAAGGATTAAACCTTACTTCTAATTCTTCTATTGCCTATTCTCCTTTTTCAAAACAAGGTAGAGATTATCCATAACCGCAATAAAACATTTTAGCTAGAATCAAAATCCTATCTTAATTTTTTTTTGCGGCCATAAACCCTCTTTTTTAAAAATAAAATATAATATAATTAAATTTTAACTTAAAAAAAAGCTTCCTATATAATTTAAACATATCAGAATTTACACCTCCTAATATTTCTATATATTCGTTAATAAGTTTAAAAGGTACATTATTTTCAAAATTAAGACCTTTTCCTTAATAAAAAATCAAATTAAAAAAAGAAAAAAGAAAATAAAATCAAACAAAACAAAACAAAAAAACCTGGTGCATTAGATATTAAATATCCGAAATCAATATGAGTTATATGTCCATCTTTTAAAAGTAGAATATTTCCATTATGTCTATCTTTTATTTATAGAAAATAACAAACTAAGCTATATGCAGCTAAACTAGAGCAAAAATTTTCCTATGCTTTCTTGAGATTTTTTCCATAATATAGCTAGAAAAATTGAAATAAATTATTTACATTTTTAAAGTTTTCATGTAATGATCTTTTTAATTTATCAATAGAAACTGAATTTTAAACATATTTAATAATTCCACTATCTGGCTCTAAACTAATAATTTCATAAGGTAAAAGTTATAAATTTAGACCCTCATCTTTGAAAATTTAATCAAATTAATTAATTAATTAGGATGCAAATTACTCTTGTTTAATATTATCTCCTGTTTTTACTATAAAGTGAATTAGTTTATATGTTTTTAAATTTTAAAATATCGATTATGATTTTATAATTTATTCTTATTTTTAAACATCTTACCCAAATAAAATATCTGCATATTATTTAAATTAAGTTTATAGTTTTTTTATGTCTTCTATTTAATTATTACTGTTCTCATTTGTATTATTGCAATTTTCATTCATAAATTGAGTTTAGTTTTAATAAGAAATATCGAGGTTTTGGACTCTTATATATTTAAAGAATATTTTTTTCAGATTTTATAATTTTGGGTTTTCATTTAATTTGTCTTTCATATTTTTAGTTGAATAGCATTTTTAATTATAAGAATCTTTATATTGTTTTATTTATAAATTTTTTAATATATATATTAATATATAAATATATCTATATGTATATATATATTTATATATAATTATATACATTTAACTATATCATTATTATGTTTCACATTTTTATCAATTAAACTTTTATGTCTAATTAATTGGTTTTTATTATCTTTTTGTTAATTTTATAAATATTTCTTTGAATGTTAAAAAAAAAAAAATATGTTTTTTTTAAAAATTTATATTTTTTTTTTTTTTTTTTTTTTTAATAAAAATTTAAACAAATTACATTTACTGTCAAAGGTTCTTATATTTATATATCAACACTTTATATTAAATTTTTTATATTGACTATATTTTCTTTTTATTATTATTCTGTATATAATTCTTCCAAATCAGGTCTAAATACTTCTACACATAATTATATAGGTGCTCTATCTTTTGTATGGTATATTTTGCATTCTGAAATTACGATATTAAGTATAACATAATTTCTTATATAATCTTTTTTTTTTATTTTTTTATTTTTCAAAAAATAAAAAAATTAGTTTACCTTAAAAAAATGGAATGTATACATTTGCTGGTAACTGTTTATTAATTTTTTGAATATTTTATTATAAAGTAGTTTATTTTTAATTAGATTTATTAATTTCAATGGAAAGTTTAATTAAATCTTCAAAAAAATTAATTGTAGAAAAGAAATAATCTGAATTTTATATATTCTCTTCTTGTTCTTCTTCAAAATTTTATTATAAATTACATAATAAATTATTTTCTTATTTTTTTATTGATAATTAAATAGAATTTATGTTTAAACTATTATCTTATTATTAGTTTTCGTCAAAAAAGATAACTTTCTCGTAATTATTTAATTAAATATGATTCATATTTATAAAATTATTTTTATTTTATTCATTTATAAATTATTCGGTCCCATATTTTTATATATAATCTTTATATAAATCATCATATTATTCAGTTTCTATTTTAAAATTTTAATAAAATTCTTAAAAATGTTTTCCAATATTATTAACCATTTATTCGACTCTTTTAATTTATGATTATTATTATTAAAAAAAATGTAAATAAAATAAAATATTACAATGGAAAATTTATGAAATCTTTTTTACTTACTATTTAAGTTAAAGACTTTAAATAAAAATAAAGTAAATGTGAAAAATATATGCTCACTTTTCCTGCCGTTTATAAAAATTCAATCATTTATTAATTCTTTAATTCTTATTAAAATACTATATAATTGCATATTTATGGAATATAAAATTCTAAATCTTCTCTTTATATTTTTTATAAACCAGTATTTGGATTTATTCTATTATTTTACATAATTATATTTTTATTTTTATTATATTTACCTACAACGACATAACATTGATATTACGGATTCATCATCTTCTTCTTATATATATAAACGAATTAATACTTATAAAAGATCTAATATAATAATATTTTCATCTTAAGTTTTCATGAATTTCATAATTAATCTTTTTGATGCTTTTTTTCGATGTTTAGATGTTAATAATGATTCATCATGTTCCTTAATGTTTTTTTATTTTATTTGACTTTTATTTTTTAAAAAATACTTAAAAACATGAAAAACATTTGCAACATAAAAGCTTTTAACAAATTCCTATTTTTATTTGATTTATAGTTATTGTTAAATAATCTTATTACCATAAACTTTTTTATATCTAAAAATAATTTAATTTTCTTTCATTTATATTTTCCTTTTTATGGTAATTTAATTTAAATGTTATATTTTTTTATGTTTTTATTTATTTAAATGAAAAAAATAAAATAAAAAAAAATGTTTTTAAATATTTTATCTATTTGATTTATGAAATGTTTAAAAAAAAAAATATATATAACAAAAAAAATTATGAAAAAGTATTTGTTTGTTATAATTTTATTTGTAAATATAAAAATAAATTTCTTTATTTAAAAACAAATTTAGATTTTTTTATATTTAAAAAATAAAAATAAAATTTATGATATTTTTTTAAAATTTATAATATATAAAGTATAAACAAAAATAAACCTAAATTATCTATTGTACATAAATATAAGAAAAAATAAATAAATAATAATAAAATTCTATTAAATTAATAATAAAATTCTATTAAAATATATATTTTTTTAAAAAAAACAAAAAACTTCATTTTGAAAAAACAAAAAAATGAAGTAAAAATAAATTTAAATAGAAATAAAATTATATATTTAAACTGAATAATATATATATAAAAATATAGTATTTAATACTTATATTTTTTTATATAAATATTATTTAAATATATATATTTATCAGAATTTTAAAACCATAAAAATCATTTATTATTAAGAAATTTAAATGAGAAAATTATAATTGAAAACATGTTTTAATTATTTATCTAGTAATAAAAACAAAAATAAAAAAAAAATTAAAGTAAATATAAGAAAGTATAAGTCAAATAAACAAATTAACTAAACTCAATAAATAATTAAATAAAATTAAATGTCAATATATTATTTATTTAATATAAATAATTCTTACATAGTAATTAATTCCATAAAATAATAACAAAATCACTAATAATATCAAAACAAATTAAATTTTTATATAATAAAGTTTTAAAAAAATAAAATAAAAATAAAGTCATTTAAAGTTTTCCACTATGTTTCACTTAATAAAAGATTAAATTAAGAAAATATATATTTTAAATTACCTAAAACGATATCTGAAAAATATTATAAATAAGCATATATTTTAATATATATATATATATATATAATATATATATATATATATATTAAACTAAATATAAATAAATTAAATTATAATTATTATAAATAATAATTTTTTAAAATAAGCAAAAGATATTAAAAATAAACATAATTATTATTTCTATTTAAGTTTTTCTTTAAAATTGAGAAATATATATAATATTTATATAAAGTATTCAACTAATTAATTTATTTACAAAATTATTAAGTTAATAAAAGAAAATGCTTTAGAAAAATTTTAAATAAACATAGAAATAATTATTTTTATCTAAATAATATAAAAAGAAAATGTTTTAGGTATAGTTATTATTTTTTATATTATAATAAATAAATAATGTTAAGATAAAATAATGAATATTTAATTTCCAATAAAAAATATAATAGGCCATTTAAATGATTTTTATATTAAATTGTTTTTAATTTTATTATAAATATAATAATATACACATGAAATTTTTTTTATATTTTCTATAATTATTATTTAAAATTCAATAAAAAAAAGCTCATATACCACTTTTCTCTACTTTATTATATATGGATTGTTTTAAAATAGAAAATTATAAAAAATTAAAAAACAAGTTTTAAATAAAATTAAATCATTTATTTTTATACCTATATCTAAAAAATATAAAAATAGTAATTGCATATATATTTATTAATTTTATTTATTTAAATATTTTAATAATATAATTATTTTTATATATATAAAATTATATAGAATATAATTTTAATTAATATTATCAGATTTTATTAATAATATTTATTTAATTTCTAAAATTAAATTATTAATATATAATATATAAATATAATTAATCTATCAATTACAATAAAATATACATTATAATTATTTATACTAATTTTATTTTTTGTCTTATTTTTGTAATATTGAGTTTTCTTAAAAAATAACTGAAAATTAGAAAAAGAATTATTAAAAATTAATAAATTTGTTTATAAAAAATATTAAAAAAAGTACGACAATATTCCGTTTTATATATCATTATAAAAAAATTATTTAATTCTGTTTTATAATATATAATAAATATTTTTTATTTTTAAATATTATAATCATGAATAACTAAATATAATATAGATTTACTTTTAAATGAATAATTTTCCTGTATTTTTTGTTTTCCTTTATAATTATTTTAGTAATTATAATAGTAATATTATATAAAAGACTTTATATGTTTTCCATATTTATTTTTCAAACAAATTATTTAGTAAAATCATATAAAAAAGCGATTTCACTTGTACTAATATATTAATAAATATAATTTTTCTTAGTAAATATTATAAATATAATTTTTTTTATTTATAAAAAAACAATAGTTAAATTATTCAAAATTTTATCGTTTTTTTTTTTTTTAAAAAAAAAAAAAATATAAATAAAAATGAATTAAAATCAAGAAGAAAAAAATATATTTTTAATAAAAAATCCAAAAAAACCCAATCTTTTTAAATAGAAATTGAATTGTTTATAAAACAATTAAAATAAATAAAAATTTCAACCAAAAAAACTATCAGAAATGAATGTTTAAAAGATATAAAAAAGTTTAAAAATAAATGCATTTTCAGCACAAAATATATCAAACATATCCACAGAAATAAACTAATCTTAAATAAATGTTAAAAAACTAAGAACGGAATAAGTATTAATAATGTCTTCGAAATCTTTAAATAGACTAAAAGAAGATGAAATTATAAAAAAGACTACATAAAATTTCATAATTAGGAGTTCAAATTAATTAACTAGTAGAGAAAAAAGCCGATCTTATATAATAACAAAATAAGAGAATTCTTTAAGTAAACAAAAAAAAGAAGAACTTGATAAAATATTAAATAAAATTCAGATAGAATACAATAGACAACCTATAAAAAAAAGCCAAGAAATAACATAAACAATTGTTTACTTAAATTTTTTATAAAAAAGAATAATTTATTTAAAAAAAAATCTCAAAAAAAATGCAATAAATAATATTCCTCTAACCCTACTAAATTTAACTTTAAAAGTTAAATAAAAACAAAAAAACTCATCTTTTTTCGCAATTTTTAAAGAAGATGATAAATTATATGAAAAAATTCAAAAAAGCCTCGAAGATTTAACCTAAGACATTTTTTAGGATAAAACAGGCTTTTTTATTTCACGATTTTTATTAATTTAAGGAAAATTCGAATTTTGGTGTGGAAATATATACTCTAGTTTAAAAATATTAAAAAAATCTAAAGAATAGGCAAAACTTAATTCCGATTTATATATAAAAACACAAATATATAAATATTTAGGTCTAGCATTTAAAGAAATAAAGGTTTATTAAAAAAGTAAAAGTTTCCTTTTGAAATCTTTAGTACTTTCTTGGGTTCTTAAAAAAAGAAATTTAGAATTAAAAATTTATGATTTATTAGGAAAAGTATATTATTTATTAAACGAAATCGAATTAGCCAAGTTTTTACACGAAAAATCATTTTTTAATTAATTTGAAAAAAATGATATTAAAAATATGATAGTTTAAAACTTTTTAGTATAATAAGAGTTAAAAATTAAATAAAAGGAAATTTAATGTTTTTAATAAAAAAGAAAAGAAAAAAAGAATAATATTTTTTCTAATAATGATGGAAATGATTTCTTTTAAAATTATATAGGTTTTTGTTCCTAAGCTAATATAATGAATAATAATATTTAAATTATATCCCATTTAAGTAGTAATAGATATATAGATAATTATAAAGAATTTACTTATAAAGATTAAATACTTTTTTCAGTTTTTTAATGCTTTTAAAAAAAAAAATAGGTAAAAAATGATTAAAATTATATAAATGATTAGAAAAATGAAGTCTATGAAAACAATAATAATAATAGTTTAGAAAATTTAGAAATGTATTTTTAAAGAAACAAGAAATCTAAATAAAAAAATGAAGAAAATGTATTTTAATTTGCGGTTAAAAAATAAACCAAAATTAAATTAGAAAAATGTTTAGAAAAATTTAATCTTTAAATTAAATATTATATAGAAAAAATGTAAAATACAATTTAAAATAATAATTCAAATACAGAAAATAATATATGAACAAAAAAAAAAAAAATGTATATATAATATATATATTATATTTTAGAAAAAAAAAAATAGTTTTATTTTTTTATTATAATATAATATAATATAATATAATATAATATAATATAATATAATATATATATTTTTTTATATATATATAAATTTATATATTTAAATATTTAAAATAAAAATATAAATGAAAAATTAAACCATTCCATAATTTGAAGCAATTGGTACATCTTATAAAAGCCCAAATTTTCCAAAAAACCAAGAAAAGTATAAAAAATCGTAAAATGACATATTTTCTTAACAAACAATAAAATTCTCTCCAAATCCGCAATTAATATTACATAAAAAAGACGAAAATTTGCAACATCTTTCAATAAAAGGTTAAAAATTAAATGAAGGATAATCTAAGCCTTAAAAAATGGATAAAAAAATAGAATAAGAAGACCTAATATTAGAAGAACATAAATAGTTTTATTAAAATCATGTAAAAAAAAACGTGACATATTCTGGCGGATTTAAAATTCCGGAAGAACTAATACATTAAAAAGACTAAAAAATTTAAATATAAAATAAAAACAAAAACGAGAAAATAATAGGCTTTGATACAAACGAAGTAGGACTAACTAAAGCCGAAATATTAAATTAATTAGGAATAAATAACTATGAAGAAATGGAATATGATCCTTTAGAAGATAAAGTTTAAGAAATTTAAATCGAAGATGAAATAGCGGAAAAAATAGAGGACTAAGTATTTGATAGACTTGACTAAATTTAAAGATAACGAGAAATTTTGCTTTAGAAAAAAAAAGAATTAATGAACGAAAAATTAGAAGAAGAAAAAATTAAAAAATGTAATTTTGATAGACTTACAGGATAATCAAAATAAAAAAATAATAAAAATTTTTAAAATATAGAATAAGAAGAATCGGAAAGTACAAAAAAATTAAAAATCTATTAAGAAGTGGAAGAATATTATAAATAAAAATATAATTTAGATAATTTAAATAATGAAAGTGAAAATGAAAATGATAAATCCTTAAACAATAAAGAAAAATTCTTTAAATAATAAAAAAGAGAAAATTTATTTAAAGAAAATAATATTAATTAAAAAGATGAGAATTTTATTAATTTAATACCAAATGTTAATCTAGATAAATTCTTTGAATCTATGAAAACACATGAAAGACCTTCCATTTAAGAAACTGAAGAAGCTTTAGTAATTTTTATTAAATTAATTATATAAAAAATATTCATATAAAAAAAAATAATATATATATAAATATATATATATATATATTTATTTATATATTTATAAATATATATATTTGTTGATTTTTATATTTATATTTATATTTATTTATTTATTAATGTTTCTTTATATATATATATTAGGAATTACAAAAATAAAAATTGTAATAACTTGATTATATTAGATAATAATTAAAAAACGGTAAAAAAGTAAATTTAAATATATCAAATAAAGAAAATTATCCGAAAATTAATAATCCATATTAATCATTTAATTACTAAAATTAAGATTCTAAAGAAATAATAAATATTTATTAAGAATAACCTATTAATTTTAATGAAAATTTAATAAATTAATAATATTTTAATGAAAATTTCAATTCTAATTAGATAAAATCAAATCCTGAGATAAAAGAATATTAAGTTTTCGAAAAAGAATTTAAAGACTATGTAAATAAACGAAAATAACTGGAAAAAGTAAAAAAATATGAATCAATTTAAGAAAAAAAAGATTTCGAACTTTTCCAATCAACCTCTCCTGACATAAGAAGACATGAAGCTAAACCTGTGAAAACTCTAAAAAAAGACAAAGAGATGAGTTCTTAAAAAAAGAAAGATATAAAAACCACACAATTGGAGGAAATTAGAATGATTTAGCTTCTTTTTAACAAAATAGATAAAAAATAAAAAGGATTAATAGATAAAATAGACGTAATAAAATAAATTAGCCAAAAGAAATCGATTTTAGAAATATATAATATCGAATTGAAAAATTTAAACAAAGAAATAAACAATTTTGTGACTAAAAATAAAGGATTTTTCACTTTCGATGAATTAGTTGATTTTTTTAAAAAGCCTCGAAACAGCAAAGAAGAAAAACAATTAAAAAAAAAGAATTTTTTCCAAGAAGAAATAAATATTTAAAAAAAGAAAATAACTGAACAAGAAAAAAATGCAAAAAAAAATGAAGAAGAAAAAAATGATGAAGAATAAACCACATGCCTACTTTTAAAAGAACATATAGAAATAATGAAAAATGTTTTCAAAAATTTGGATAAACATAATGATTTAATTGTAAATAGAAAAGAATTAATATAAAAATTAAGAGAAGATATCCGAATAGTCAAAATATTACATTTTCCAGCAGTTTTTATGCCTTCTATTGAAAAATAAATGAATGTAGATAGAGTATTATATAGAATAGAATAGGAAGAGTTATTAGGAGATTAAGATTAGAAAAAATAAAAAGAATTTATTACTTGGAATCAGTTTTTCGATTATTTTAATGATTCAAAGTCTTTAAGAAAATAAAATGAAATATAAACTAAAGAAAAAATTAAATAAATAAAAGTATTTTCTTCTATTAAAGATAAGTTAATATATAATATTATAATAAAATATATATAAAAATAAATATATAAAATATATAAATATATATATATATATATATTTTAATTTATACATTTAATTTATTTATATATTTATTATAACAAAAAATAATAGTTTTGATGATTAAAATTAATTAGATTTAGATGATGAAATTAAAATTTTATTAAAACAAACATTTGATAAAATGGAAAAATATTCTGAATAGTTTGTTAATACTTTTTCTTATATAGAAGAAATTAAATAGAATTAAAAATATCCATAATTTCAACATCTTATTGGCAGAAGGAAATCAGAAAAGTATTTCCTAAAAGATGAGCTTTTTACTGAAACATTAGATAGAATGGAAATTGAAGCAGACGAATATATTGACTGGGATGAAGTTTTGGATTTTTTTACCAGAAGAGGAAGACCTAAATTTTCTAAAATTTAAGAAGATGAATAATTATTATTTAATTAAAAAATTGTATTTATAAATAAATATTCTTATATATATATATATTTAAATATATATATATATATATATATAATATTTTTATATTCATTAAATATTTTTAATAGGCAAAAGCTCCGAGAATATAAGAAAATTAAGAAAAATTTGATAATTCTATAAAAGAAAGTTTTGAAAAATAAAATAGCAATTTCTATTAATAAGATTATATAGATGGATATGATAGTGATCCTGAAATATTTACTTATTAAAAAATAATTACCCTTTAAAAATTAAAAGAGCAAGTTTTTATTACTTTTTATTTTATTTTTTGTTTAAAAAATCTATTTTTTTTTTTAAAGAAAGTCAAAAAAATTAAGTAAATTTAAGTACAGAAATCAAATAAAATTAAAATTAATAAAATTCTCTTGAAAAAGAACATTTTTAAGAATTTGAAAATTAATAATACTAATATTAAGATGAAAAAATATAATAATAAAGTTATAATAAGGCTTTATTTAATAATTTTTAATAAAAATCTACGAAAAATTTTCCATTAACAATGCCTCACCCATTTAAATTTGATGAACGTGAAAAAAAATAAAAAAAACATAAAACTATTCGATAAGATAAAGTAGAATAAATGATTAAAGAAGCAAAATAAAAAGAGTAAGAGCCATTTTAAGTAAAAATAAAGCCTAAACCTATACCTGCACATGTAAAATAAAATTTGTTTGAAAAAATAATGCACGAATAAGAGAAAAAAAGATAAGAAGTAAAAGTTAATTCAGTAGCAATTACTATATAAAGAGAAAAACCGTTTTCTTTTTATAATAAACCTTAAAAATAAAAACGTAAAACATACAATGAGAGAGAAAACTTTATTTTTAAAGCTAATAAAGTAACAAACATAATAAAAAAATATTAAAAAAATAAAAAAGGTACCATGGTTCTGTTCTACAAATTTACTTGAAAAAATATAAAGAGACGAGGAATTAAAAAGATAAGAAAGAGTTTCTAAATAAGCTTAGAAAACAATGGCGATGTCTAAATTACCACCAAGAATGGAAAAGCATTAACAAGAATAAAAGGCTAGAGAAATAATGTAATCTTAAAGTGTTTTAAGTAAAAATAAAAAAAAAACATAATATATATATAAATATATATATATATATATATATATATATATATATATATATATTTATATACTTATATATTTATTTATTTATATATTATCATATATAATTTTTTTTTTAAAAATACAAATTTAATTTCTATTTTCACAGGTAATAGAAATTTTTCTTTAAAAAGACATAATTCATATGAAGAAAATTTAAGATATTAACCTTATAAAGCTAAAAAAGTTCCCGATTTTAACAAAATGCACGAAAATTTTGAGGGGAAATTGAATAAATCTCGTAAAGCAAAAAGACCTACAGAAACAAAGCCTTTTAACTTCCAAGAAACACGAAAATTACCTAAAAGAGAATATATGGATGATGAAAATATATTAATAAAAAATGACTAAAAATAAAAAGTTGATAAAATAAAAGAAGCTTAAAAATGGAGAACCCATTAACCAAAAATATAGCCTTAATCTATAAAAAAATGGGAACTTAATTTATAAAAAATAAAAAAAGACTAAGAAGAAAAAGTAAGGAAAAAAGAAGAAGAAAATCAAAAAAAAAATCAAAAAATTTTCGAAAAAGAAGAACTGATAAAAATCGTCCAAGAAAAATACAAAAAAATGATTAATCTGAAAAGCTTAAAGAAAATGCCGAAAAAAACATCCAAAAAGGAAAAGATTAATTAAAACAAACCACTTTATAATATTAATAATAAAAGAAACAAATTCTTGAAAAAGTTAAAAGAAGACCTTTATTAATGGAATAAAGTAAACATTTAATATTCTTTATAGTTTTTTTTATTTTACTTTTTTTTTAATTATAAAATAGAATATAAAGGAAGATAATATTTAGAAAAATTAAAAACTTTAGACAAAATTGATAATAGATTGAAAGAAAGAGGTATGAACGAAAAAGAAAGAAAAAAAATGTACACTAAAGAAGAATTAAAAATGTTAGACGAAATAAAAGCTTTAAAATCGAGAGGTTTTCGTACTTTTAAAAATGAACTTGATGTAGGGGATGATGTTAGTATTTCTCCGCCGAAAGAAGGCTATAATTATGCTGAATTAGAAGAAGAATTTGGAGATGGAAATAATAATTCTTAAAAAAAAGAAGTTAATACATTTATTTAGAAACTGGGAAATGGGGATAATAGAAGAATAGATACATTAAGTAATGAAGATTATGATAATTTTATTGATGATTAAATAAAAGATAAATATAAAAGTAAAGATGAATTTATTAAAGTTTAAAATTAAGAAGAAAGCCAAAAAGATTTGGATAATTTCCTTTAGAAAAATAAAAATAAACTAAGTGATAGCTATAATTCTAATAATAATAAAGAATAAGAGAGATAAAAAAAAGAAGAAGAATAAAGAAAGGAAGAAGAGAGAAAAAAAATAGAAGAGCAAAGAAAGAAAATAGAAGAAGAAAAAAGAAAAAGAGAAGAAGAAATAAAAAAAAGAAAAGAAGAAGAAGAAGAAAATAACAGATTAAATTAATAAATAGAAAAGAAGAAAAGGGAAGAAGAAGAAAAGAAGAAAAAAGAAGATGAAGAAAGGAAAAAAAAAGAAGAAGAAAAAAAAAATGAAGAATAAATTAAAAAAAGAAAACAAGAAGAGGAAGAAGAAGAAAATAAAAGATATAAATAAAAAATAGAAAAAAAATAAAAAGAAGATGAAGAATATGAAGAATAGAAAAAAAGGGAAAAAGAAGAAAAGAATAAAAGAGAAAATGAAGAAAAGAAGAAAAGAGAAGATGAAGAAAGGAGAAAAAGGGAAGATGAAGAAAGGAAGTAAAGGGAAGATGAAGATGAAGAAAAAAATAAAAAATAAAATGAAGAAATAAAGAAACAAGAAGAAGGTAAAAAATAAGAAGAAGAAAATAAAAAATAAAATAACGGTTTAGAAGGATTTGAGGAAATAGAAGAAGATTATCCGGATGATTTTGAATGAAATAATAATATATATATAAATATAAATATATATTATTATATATATAAATATATTATAATATATTATTATTTATATAAAATAATATTTTTATTTTTTATTATAACATATCTATATAAAAATAATTAATTAAATTTATTAATATTTAAATATATTTTTTATAATATATTTATAAATTAATATATATATTTTTTATATTCATATAAATATAATATTTTTATTATAAATATTATTAATTTATCTTTTTATATTTTATTTGTAATTGTAATGCTATATTAAGAAGATAAATTATTAAATTCTTTTATCATTCGTAAAGAATATATATATATATATATATTTTATACTTTTTAAATTATTAATTATTTTTATTGATATATTATTTTACCATTATTATGATTTATGTGTATAAAATAAGATATTTTTCGATTTTTTATGATATGTTAATTAATAAATTATTTGTATGTTTTATTATAATTTTAAAATTATTTTCATTTATCTGATTTTTATTATTATAAATAATATAATATAATAATATATAATATAATTATTTATTATTAATTAATAAATTATATACATTATATTATATTTATATATATTTATATATATATATATATATATATATATATATGTTTTTACAAATAATATATTTATATTATTATTTAATATTTAAATAATTCTTATTTTTATATTTAAAATAATAAATATTATTCATATTTATTCTAATTATTATTATTTCGATAATTACTATATTCAAGAAAAAAAAATTAAAATAATTATTATTTATTATTTTTCTTTAAAAAATAATTATATTTTTTCCTATTTAAATTTAATAATTTTATTTTTAGTTTTTTAAAATAATTATTTTAATAAATTTAAAATAATCAAAATATATCAATTAAACTTATTATTTTATTTATTTTATATTTCGTAAAAATCTAATACAAGTTAATTGTAGTTCAGTGTATGAGTTTAATCAAAAAATATTAAAAATTTAATATAATTACTATTATATTTGAATAGATTTGCCAAAGAAAAATAATTAAATAAATAAAATAAAGATATTAGATTTAAACATTACAAAAAAGACTTAATACCAAAATATTAACTTTAAATTTATGATATTTATTTTTATTTTACCTTTGAAAAAATTATTTATATTTATTCAAATCTTTATTATTAAGAAATAAATATTTTATAAATTTTTTTTATAAATATATAAAAAATTATATTTTAAAAAAAAAAATTATTTATTAATATATATCTATATATTATTTATTTTAAAAACAATAAAATAATAAGATATTAAATATATATATATATATATATATATAAATAATATATATATTAATAAAGATTATTATTATTATTATTATTATTATTATTATTATTATTATTATTATTTTTATTATTATTATTAATATTTTATCATTTGTTTTTATTAACCTAGATTTTTTGATTAATTATAAATAGTATTTTTATAAAAAAATATCTTTTTATTAT